CGGGGGCTCCCAATCCGGCTCCTGGGATAGTACGCGACGGCCTTGACTCATATTGGTTGTCATGTTGGGTTTATTGTTTTTTCGTATATTTGTTGATATGCTGCTTTATCATACAACAACAACAACAACAACAACAGTAATAATAATAATAATAATAATAATAATATGTTTCTAACGAGGTCCACTAGTACAGCAAGTATGAGACTCCATTAAGGCTAGAATAATAATGTTATCATTAATAACACTGGAAACGTTTGTACACATCTATTAAATAGAATAAAAGAAATATAATAACATTGTATAAAGAGAAGTAATTATTTCTGAGCATGCTGTCAATTCACTGTAAAAACGATTCTCTTTTTTTATCCTAGATCAAATTATGTTTTATCAGTTGTCATTCCTTGGACTAAAATAAGTGTTTATTTATACCCACGTTGGTATGCGTGATAGATATTCATACACACATACACTTAGACATAAGCACTCGCGCATACAAACACACACATAAATCATTATACAGTTACATAAATGTTAGATACGAATAAAGTGTCGCTGCCGACACTTGAGTTTAAACATAGATCGCCAGTGAGCAAACACAGGCGATCCCATTATTGAATTAAATGGATCACGTGACCATGGGAGAAACGCATAAGTAGGCAGTAGCGTGACGTCTAAACGATCTCTATTTCTAGGCTATCCTCTATTACTATTAGGATCACTATTTTACTCTATTACTGTACGGACCGCTATTTTCTATAATGTTCACTATACTATTCCTCTATTCGGATTACTACACAGTGATTACTATTCGAGCGAGTATTATCGATCAAGTACTAATATTACGAGATTATTTGAAGGCGCCTGAGACCTGTATTGTGAAACGGCGTTACTATAGTTGTATCTGCGATTACAAAGTTTCTACGAGCATTACGAAAGTGACAACGAGTATTAGTTGACATCACAAAGTGGCAAAGAATGTTCGTTGACATCACAAAAATAAATCATTATACCAGTTACAAAATACCTCAATATATTAAGAAACCACTTCAAAAGAAAACTTCCTCTAACTCTCCATTATACAACAAAGCAAATTAATCAGTAATCATTGTTTCTTCTCTTTCATTAAAAATTATATAAGCAAAAAATAGACTTACATCTGGGATCATCTATCAGTAATGTCTTTTTTTTTTTGTCTTTTCCAAGAGTCCGGCACATTTAAACATATCATACCTAAAAACATTCACTTAACCAAAAAGACATAGATACCTTTATTATATCCTTACAATAAAAATCTACTAGAGATGTAATAACGTAGAACCTACAATCAAATTCACGCTTGAATTTGAAATAAACAAATCTCGACTTTTTCTCGACATCTTATTAATACGTTACAATAACAAATTAGATTTTAGAGTTTATCGTAAACCCACAAAAACGATTTACTTCTATTCTTACCACAGTCAAAAAATAAAAACTGGATTACTCATAGGATCAAAGCCAGTATACCTAGGTGAAGAAGAGAAATACATCGAAAAAAAACATTTATGCTTCTTCAGTACATATATATATATATATATATATATATATATATATATATATTTTATATATATTTGGTTGATTGATGTGAGTTTGTGACCCCGGGTTTCACGCATTTGCGATCGTCAGACAATATATATATATATATATATATATATATATATATATATATATATATATATATATAGCCGGTTGGGCACCTCGAGATGGTATAATGGTTAGCAAGGTTGTTACGCTAGAACAATTAGGACTGAATAGAGAGTACAATTCTCACTTTAAAATAAGGTAGTGGTTTCCAATCTTTTTTTGTGTTGCATTTTCGAAATTAAAATTTGCTCGCGCCTCACCAAGTTTTATGTGATAAAAATTACATTTAAAAATAAAAAGAAACAGAGAGATGGTTAAAGGGAGATAACTGCACATTCGAAGTCAGACCACTGTCATTGATAACTCTCTTCTCCAATTTGCGGACCCTAGTTACCATATTCTTAATACTAGATATAATGCAAAAATATCAAATGATAAAATTGGTCAATAATTATCTATAATTGTTTATACTGGAACACATACATGAAATTACAAATAATCCATAATAATATTTAAAATTTTGAAATCATATTTATTTTTGACATATGAATTTTTTGAAACCGTCTCTAAATCTTTGATTGTCTTTCAATCATTCCGCCCCACCTTCTATCCTCTTCCGCTTCACCTGCTATCCTCTTCCGCCTCACCTGCTATCTTCTTCCGCCTCACCTGCTATCCTCTTCCGCCTCACGTGGGAGGCGCGTCGCGCCGTTTAGGAACCACTGAGGTAAGGAATTGTTTGAGGTCAGGAATTAAAGTAAACTTTACTGAGAGAAATGCACTGAAAATTCTCGGTTGTCTGGATTTAATGCAAGAATTACTGAAAATATAGCGTTATTTCATGTATAATGTAATCACTTTGCTAATAATTTTATAACAGAAATATATTACCAATCAGGAAGAACGTGGTTGTCAGTGGTCAGTAATTAATGATGTAAGTACAGCGCCCTCCAACCTTTTTGCCCCACAAACAGGTGTCATGCAAGACATTTTTCCATGAACGGGGGTGGGGATTTTGTGTCGGTCATACGCATAGTAGAGTACCATAAGCAAGACCACGATCATACTTATTATAAAACCCAGGTTCTGTGTGTGTGTGTGTGTGTGTGTGTGTGTGTGTGTGTGTGTGCGTCTGTTTCGTTTATATATTAGATCGGATTTCCTACATTTTTCAACCGATTTGAACAAAACTTCACAGGACTACGTAAAATTACCTTGCGGTGGTTCTGACAGCGCCAAGAATTGGAAAAAGACAATTGTTTTTGCACGAAATCAATTTGAAAACACGATTAAGAGGCATCGCTTTCGAGAATGAAAGAGGGACAACTCATATCGAGTTATACTTATTATAAAACTCAGGTTGTTTGTGAGTGTGTCTGTGTTCGTTTATATATGGGATCGGATTTCCTATATTTTTCAACCGATTTCAACAAAACTTCACTTTTTTTGGCAGGTAGTGTTTCTTATTGTCTTGCACACTTTTTTCTTTATTTTTACATTCAGAATGCTTTAAAATTCCAGTTAAAAGACAATTGTTTATAATAAAATTCTATTCAATCGGTAGACTCATAACGATTGAAAACAATGCTTTTGTTTGAGTCTGGGTTTGAACAATTCGTAAAAAAAAATAAAATAAAATAAAATAAAAATAAACAAACAAAAAACAAAAAAACTAATTAAGACATGCGTGTCCGTCAACCTTAAACAATAATCTTTGTCAATTTTATTTTTCAGTCTTTATGATGGTCGATACTTGATCTATCTCTTACTGTTACATTCCCGGGCAACGCCGGACTCTACTGCTAGTAGTCAATAAAATGGGGAAAATGTGTTTATTCTTTCTTTGCGTCCCGGCGCACAAATGGTCCACGGTCCGGTACCGGTCCGCGGCCAGATTGTTGGGAACAGCTGATTTAACGCTCAAAGTTTGCGGTATATTTTATAACATTTTTGTCAATGAGAAAACGAGCACTTAAAATGGGCCTGTTATAATCAGCAGCATTTATATAATCAGTGAATTCCTTGAAAGTTTCTCCTACAGCCACTTATGAAAATGCTTATTGTTAACAAAAGAAAATAGATGTACTTAAAGACAAGATAATCAGCAGCGGTAAGTCTTTCAGAATTCGGTCGATGAGGCAAAATTCTAAGTTCCCAAGAAAATATATGTTATGTTCTCATTGCAACGATCAGTGACTCATTTTCCATAGTATAAATATTGCGCATAACTCCATACTTTTCTGGTGTCAGTATAAACTGATGCTTTCTTTTGTTCTATATACAAACTTTGCCCTGACTATAACTCTCACTGATATGTTTGAAATTTTGCAAGTTTTCATCTGAAGTCAAGAAAATACAACCTTTAAGCAAACAGGTCAAAATATAAGAAAAAAGAGAAGGCGTCAATTTTAAACAGATACCAGAAGGATATGGACTAAACGCTCTCATCTTTAACTTATTTCGCTTCAAGATAAATTTGTATTTAACATCAATATATTATTATTATTATTATTTCCCTGGATTTCTGTTTGTACACACATTTCCTTTCGGCTCCCAACCAGAGACCTAAGCTTCATGACATTTTCAATTGATCATTTTTGTAAAAACAAAAAAAAACGAATATCTAAGATCACACACATTTTATATAGATAAAGTTCTTCGTGATGTATGAGCTGTAAATGAGAGTACAAATTTCTGTATTTCTTTAAGGCATGGGCTAAAAGGAATCCTTCAATGAGACCTTTTTCCAATCAATCCGAGTGCTCCAACTACAACTGGAATTACTGATGTCCTCATGTGGCATATTTTTGAGATTTCCACTTCAAAAGTCTTGTATTTTGATAGTCTTTTTTAAAGATCTTCAAAGATCCATTACAATCTGTAGAGACTGACATGTCAATAAGAATGTATATAAGCTTTGATTGTTCTGTCTGTGTGTTGTTGTTATTATTATTATTATTAATGTATTGTGTATTAAGAATTTAAGAAAATGTCCACATCTGCATATCAAAAATATCGGACTGGACTGGACTGGTGAATGACTTGCCAAATCCATATCCTCTTGGCATAATTTGAAAGTCTTTTTTCGGTAGAGCTGGATTGTAATTATACAGTATAATTTTGAAAAGTTCAAAATAACTAAAATAAATTTGAAATTTCACAAATTCTAATCTGAAATTAATAAGAACTTTAAGGAAAATAGTGCGAATAATAAAACAGAAAATGTCAGTTTAAACTGACGCCAAGACAATATGTGCCTATTTATTTCTAATATACATATATATATATATATATATATATATGTGTGTGTGTGTGTGTGTGTGTGTGTGGTCACGCCCATATCTAATGTGCTTATTCTAAGATATAACGGGAGTTTACGGCCGCATCACGTTAAAACACCGGTTCTCGTACGATCACCGAATTTAAGTAATGTCAAGCCTGGTCAGTACCTACATGGGTGACCGCGTGGGAATACCAGCCTGTAATGGATAATGGCTCGGAATTGTTAATGGGAGGTTCGAGTTCCAATTGCAATTAAATTAGTTATATTCACTTACAGGGAAATACCTTTGTGAAAGGTATGAATTCACCCCTTTTCCTCAGCAATGTATTAATTAGTAACACTAAATCATTATTATCTATAAATAAAAACACAACATTCTTACAACATAAAATATTTTCTGGCTTTAAAGAAAACGAATCATCGATCAATCTAAAAGATAACGGAATTAGACTTTACCATCGCTGCCCCACAAGAGTATCGGAGAACCCAGTGTATTAGGAGGTGACCTGGAAAGTGTCAGATAGCAAGCAAGTGCTGCAGAATTGGGTCTCAAATAATGTGAGTGGCTACGCGCGATATGTCAAGAGGTGGGAAAACCTGCTGCGCTTAGTATTTGCACGCGCGAGACAAGCGGATGACAGGAAGTTACATATGTGCCTCACCCGAAAGAGAATAGCAGAAACTCATATTTCCGTGCTAGAATATCCACGTTCTAAGAAAGTCCCCAAAGCCATACACCCTCAGGCCAACATTAATTGACGAAATGCAGATATAAAGGTACAATAATTTTATGCATGAAATATTAATCATTGCTCGTTACACCGATAAAGTTACAGTAACATTCTACCCTATCTGTAAGATTAAATTAATTCCTGACCAATGACAATCCCTTTCTTCCTAATTACAAATGCATGTCTGTGCTAAGATCAGAAATACTCTCAATACGAGGATTAGCTGAAAAGTTCATAGACTAACTATGAAGGAGTGATGCTGGAGCTAGAATATCTTGCATGAATTAATTTCAACTCTTTTTATTAATAACTGCATTGCATCTTTCCAGCTATACTGATATTTGACCGTTCAAACGAGACTGTTCATCCTGTTTGTCTAAAAGTTAGGAACAGCAGATATAACGTCATCATCACTGCGATACTGTTTCACAGTGTTCTTCATGTTGGGGAAGAGATGATAGTCAAATTTGAAGAATAAATGAGAGTGATCAACCAATTAAAAAACATAGTTACGTATAGCAGATACTGAAACCAAGGAATTGTTTGCTGGAGCATTTTTCTGGTGAAAATTTTGTCAATATAGACGTTTGTTCATGATAGCCTTTCGTAACTACCTCAGCATATTAGTATAGTATACTCCACTGATGTTGTGTCCCTTTTGAAGATAGTCAATAAACACAAAGCCTTTTGCATCTCTCAAAACTGACGCCATTACCTTCTCTCCAGCTGAAACGATCTTGGCTTTTGTTGGCACTCTTGAGAACGGATGTTTCCACTGCATCGACTGTCTTTGTTTCTGACTGAAAGTGATGAACACAACACACATTCTGGGTTAGGAAACGTTCAGCTGGATCTGTCTCATACAATGTCAGATTTTCCTGTAATGTGATCAGCCTGGTGCGATTTTGATCAGGTGTCAAAAGACGTGGCACCCAACGGGCAGAAACCTTCGTCATGCCAAGTTCATTGTGCAGAATATTCTCAATTCTCTCACGGGATATGCTAATAGAAGTGACTATTTGATTTACAGTCAATCACCTGTCATACATCACCATGTCGTAACATGACGTTTTCCTAGGTGATGACAGTTGCAGGACATCCAGATTGGGAACCATCTTCAAGACTCTCCATTCTCTTCCTCAATTCAGCTGCCCACTTTTTTTTTGTTGCAAAGCTGGATCGTTATACTTTAATGTAACAACTATGTCAGCATGAATACCTGAATATATTTGGGGACTGAACCCTTTTCTGTAGGTACTTGATAACACCATGATGCGAAGTTTTGTCAGTTTTCAAGAGAAGTCGCTACAAGTAACTTTGATGTCTTCTTTGAACAGTCACATGGCAGTTTGCCTGGAAGGAAACAATGCTGTTATTAATAAAAGTTGAAATTATTGCAAGCAAGATTTCACTGCTGGCATCACTCCTTCATAGACTATGAATCTTTCAGTCCGCCCTCCTATTAAGGTAAAAGTTGGAGTTAAGATTCAAACTATACCAAATTTCTTTCTATAAAGCTCGAATAAAAGCCCTTCGAGCCTATTATAATGCACTCACTTTCTTTTCGTTTTAACATCCTTTAATGAAGCTACATATGGAAAAATATTAATGGTTTATTCATTATGTGAAGTAAGATAGCCAATACAATTTATCTGCCTAAATTTTGTTATTGCTGCAAGAAACACATTTAAAGCCTAACTACGTGAAGATCTATAAGTTAATAAACGCCATCGAAAGGTTAACGTTTATGGCCTCCTGATGATCACAGGTCGTGTTACGAATATAAACAGAAAAACACGATCAATGCAGTTATTAATTAGACTTGAATTTAATGCATGCTAGATTACACAGTCTTCGCATCATTCCTTCATAATCAGCCTATGAACTTTTCAGCCCACCCTCGTACATTATGCATGGGAATACCCTATATTACCAAAAATGATTGTAACAGTTTTGTTTATATATCACATACCACACTTTCTATAATAAAATTTTCGGCAATCAAATCATTTTATATAGTGATTTTCCAAGCGTTCAAATCATTTTATATATGTAAGAGCTCTATATAGTCACTATTTTCAATAATGTTTGCATTAATTCCTGAAAAAGTTTTTATGAAATAAAATCATTACTAATAAATCGTTAGCAATGAAATTACACTATATATGCAATATCTCTATATTGCCGATATTTTGAGTAAGGCATGAATTAATTCCTGATCGCTGACAATCCCTTTCTTCTTTATTTACAATAATCATCATGCATACTGCAAGTGTAATTTGTGTTCATCATTAAAGGTATGCCGGGAAATTTAGCAGTAAAACCTGGGGGCATTTCTAAGGAAAGTCAATACGTTGTCTACAGAAACCAGTTTAAAACTGAGTCGGAACTAAAATGCAGCCTGATGTTTCATTGTTATCGATTACAGCAAATGTTATTGTTATTGATTACAGCAAATCATTTCAGGGAATGAATCTAGAGGTTAAGAGAGAGCCGGTTAACTTATATGATGTTAATGGCCAAAAATTCGAAATAAATGTAGGTTCATATTCTATGATTAAAGGTAGTCGAAAGTACTAGAAACATTACACACAATATCGGCAAGATCCTTTACAAGTTTCCACCAGGCATCAAACGACTTGCCACCAGAAATAAATCCACAAAAAGTTTGACAATCATTGTCTGCTCTAATTAATTAAATGTTTTGACGATTGTATTTATGTCAATAAAATCTCCCCCTCTCTCTCTCTCTCTCTCTCTATATATATATATATATATATATCCAGGTACGACGAGAACTAATAGAGTGCACTTCCAACACTCGAAACATTTAATTTTTTTTAAATGAGACTGTATTTAGGTTTTAAAACCAAATTAATCGTTCACTCGCCAATAATTTACAATCGCCTAAGGAGACGCATTGTTGTGCCTTGAAACACGGCTTCAATTGTGTAGCGATTCTCACATGTTTTTTGTTGTAATATCCTAAAATAAATTATATATATATATATATATATATATATATATATATATAATGTTTTGTTAAATAGCAACTAGAAGTTCCATGTTAATTACTTTTTATGAATCTTTTTCGATGCTCCATATTATTATTTTTTTTTTTTGTGTTCATATTTTCGAATATCTTCCTGTAGCCAAGAAAATAATCCGGAACATCGAAAAACAACAAAGATTAACAAGAAAACGTTGGTAATCCGAACATCGAAAACAAAAATTGCAAAATATATATATATATATATATATATATATATATATATATATATATATATATATATATATATATATATATATGTGTATGTGTGTGTGTTTGTATGTGTGGGTGTGTGTAGTACTTGCAGAAAATAAGCTGACAACATCCCAAAGGACGATCTCACTTTCGACCTTGACTTTCTTATACCTGTTCACTAAGTGTTGCCTCGTCTGAGAGAAATCCAGTAGATATATGCCACTCGTGACTATCGAACTCATGCCACTAGAGAATTGGTTTCCAACACTAGCTTGCTTTCAAAATTGCTACGATAGACGTTTTAATCGGTTATTTCTTAGCTTATCCCAGTATGGCACAATGCTAATTTGTAGAAAACCCGGTAAAGAACAAACTTTATAGTAGTAATGGTTTATTCGAATAACCCGTTAATCCATTTATGGATGGCGTCTAACTATTTGGGCATAAACTTAATCAGCTCTGGGCACCAAACCTAATACATTACACTATAATATTTTTGTATCATAAGGAAAATTTGGAACCCATTGTAATAGTACAAATATATTATAATCTAATGTATTAGGCTTGTTGCCCGAAACTGGTTAACGCCATGCCCAAACATTTGGGCCTCATGCATAAATTAGCCTACATTGAGACGTCTATAAAGATTTCATTGTGTATTTATATGTGTATGGCTATTTACTAAGCCTAGCTAAGTCTGGCGTCAGACTTTAATTATAGGATTGTCCTCATCTTTGTCGCCATATTTATCACAACGTTTCCTCAAGGACACATGGCACAGTGGATAAAGGCGTTGGTTAGATCCAGTGACAGGACCCAAAGAGTGTGAGTTCAATAAAGCAGTGGAGAACTTTTAGAGGGAAATTAGCAGGAGATAACTGATAACTGACATCCATCAAACATGGCACGTGGAACTAGAACAGTCTACCCCAGTGAGCGAAATAAAGGGTCAAGTTCGACATTCCGACCACCTGAAGAAGGCCGGAGCGTACAACGGCCGAAACGTTGTGATAAATATGGCAACAAAGATGAGGACAATAGTCCGAATAATGTAAATAATGTACATAATACCTCATCTCAGAAATATAGACAGACTCTAATAAACAAATTTTGTTAACCATTACCTAGGATTAGACAGCCATATATCTGTTAGTGTGCGTTTGTGCATGGTTCTACAATGTGTGTGTCTAACATGGAAGCATAATCAGAAGTTCCCCAG